ATGACTCAGGCACATTACTCAATGTAAAAAATGTACAGTTTATATTTTAAATTAGTTACATTTATAAATTTTGTTGTCCATAGTAATGTCATGACTGTGGGATTCATCTACATGCCTTAAAAACTAATCAGGGCACTTTGTTGCCATGAACGGTACCATTCAGACAGGCCTGCAGACTGAAGTTCTCTAATTATTAACAGAACCGATCAAACAGTTGCACTGAAAGGTTCCCCTATCCCATCCTGCAAAAGTACCTCCATCCTGATCTGGATGGACAAGCTTTAGGTGCAAGTAAGGAGTTCAGATTCCGTGGCTCATTGTAAACTAATTCTTCAGTCATTTTAGATTGCCAGCTAGGGTACCAATTGTTTTGATGCCCTTTTAGATGAGGACATCTGTCCTTCGGTACCTGGGCTCATGAACATGCAGAGACCACAGAAGTTTCCATTGTGTGGCACCAGCTGAAAAGTGATCTCAGCTTTCTGGAAGATCCTTGTATTATCAGCATAATCTAACTCGGGTAATAAAGCAAATGGTTCACAGAGCTGTAAAGGGAGAATAATCTCTGTGTATAAAAGACACAGATCCTGGATTTACCAGCAAAATTAAGACTAAGCCTCAAAGGACAACAAACATGAAAAGCTTATGGAAAGGCTTGCCATGAACCTATGGCAGCAGCTGGGGGGCATTGGAGAAGATTAGAAGATACATCGCATGTAATATGTGCATTTGACAATGGGTAAAATTCACCTTGGCAAAGGGAGAGTGGGGGGTGGAAACTGCACCAGCAGGGTCCATGGTGCTCTGGCTGGGGGAGATCTTAATTCCAAGAGGATAGCATTGCCAACTTCCCTCAGAAGGATCCCCCTCAACAGCCTCTCCCCCTGGGGTTGCTATGAAGTACCAGTTTCCAATTACAGTTCTCGCCTCCTGGCATTACCTCTGTTCATTATATAAGGAGGCATGTATTTGGGGGATGACACTATACAGTGCTTGTGGAGCAGTGGGAGGAAGAGTCTGAAGTCACATGACTCAAGTACGACCCATTTCTGAAATGCAGTTTGGGAAGCTCTGATGAGAAATACATGATTGAATCTTACAGACATTTAAGATGGCAATTCAAATGAATGGCCAATGGCAAAAGCTCCAGCGCTTTCAAGCAACACTATTTATTTGGACCACAGAGATGAAATTCCTGCATATCATGGGATTCTGCACAAAGGACATTGTATCATACTACCACACACCATGAGCGCATAATCTGGATTGAGATGTGTGAGAATAGCGCCTCACTTTCCTATTCTTGTCAGTCATGAATAATATTACTGAAGATAAGGCATCCAAGTATGAAATCTACAGTCAAAGCAGGAGGCAGAATGCAAAAGAATTACTGAAACCACATGAGCCATCACCCTTGGTCCAAGGTTGGTGCAGATCTATTTGAATTAAAAGTAAAAAGATTACTCATTGGTGGATGACTGTTCACATTTTTAAAATGAACTATTGCCCAACACATCAATTAGCAATGTGATAACTCACTGTATAATGAGTTAAGAAGAGATAATGGCCCACCATTCACGAGTGGCTCTTTCTGGCAATTTTTGATCTATCAGTTCGAGTACGCCATGTCAAACACTTGCTATGATAGCAAAAGTCAATACAAACAGCTACATTTGATTTGATAAAAGAGGGAGTTTCAAGGGATCCATACTTAGCATTGCTAGAATATTGCAACACACTTTCTCAGGCCGTTTATTGAGATCACCAGTTTATAGAAAAAGTCTTAGAGCCAGATAACGCTGAAGTATTTAGTATTCATTATGGTAGCATCAAGGGACCAATGCCCATTGTGCTAGGCACTATGCAAACATAACAAAGACACTGTCTGCCCCCTAAAAGAGCTGTGCACCAGGATACTAGCAGCAGAGAAATACCAAAAGAATGCCAAACCATTACCTTCATTTGCAAGTGAGAGGAGATGTTCTGTTCCAAACAAAAAATGGCTGGCAACCTGCTAATGCAACAGTTAGGGTGACCAGATGCTAAGTGGAAAATATCAGGACCACCGCAGGGGGGCTCCTTTTTAATTGTTACACTCACCCGTCCGGGTCTTCGGCGGCATTTCGGCGGAGGGTCCTTCAGTCGCCGATGGTCTTTGGCGGCATTTCGGCGGCGGGTAATAAACCTTGAGGTCAAAGACAGAAGCACCCGCCTTCGAAATGCTGCCGAAGACCGTCAGCGACGGAAGGACCCTCCGCCGAATTGCCGCCGAAGACCCGGACGGGTGAGTGTAAAAAAAAAAAAAAAAAATGCCCGAAACAAAATATCAGGACAAATGGCGTCCTGACCATACTTCGGTCGGGATGCGGGACAAACTCCTCAAAATTGGGACAGTCTGGTCACCCTAGTAACAGTCCACACCAAGGATATGTGTAATAAACATGGCAGCGGGTCATTCCTAGAGAGGAACATGACGTTTAAACGCAGCTAAGGAGACCATCTCTTGAGGACCTCCAGAAGGCTACAGATTGTACTTCTATGCTGATAATGAAAAGCACCAGGAACAGGAGAAACAGGCACCAAGTGTCAGATGCACCTCTGTGGGCGAAGAGGCCACTGAAGAAAGAACTGGCTTGAGAACACTAAGGGGCCATGTGATCAGAAACCCATTGAGGTTTAGAAATGATAATTATTGATTGACATCCAGTAAGAAGCAGAATAATTCCCTCATCTGCCAAGGGCTTCAGGTTGCCTGCCCTGACCTTAGTCCTACACATGTGATTTGTGCTTTTGTTTTGTATTCATCTGTGATTGGGGTTTTTTGGTGGATAATTCTCTACTTGCATTTCGTTAATATATAAAAAATCATTGGAGTTTCCCATCATTGTAGGAAATAACATTACTACAACCTGCTGCAGCAGCTAACAATAAGAGTGCTTTCTCCAAGCAAGGTTTTCTCCCCAATGCTGGATCCTTGAGGTTTAGGATGCACATGTTGCAGGAAAGCAATCAAAAAAATCTGAATCTTGCATCTGAAGAAGTGAGGTTCTTACCCACGAAAGCTTATGCTCCCTATACTTCTGTTAGTCTTAAAGGTGCCACAGGACCCTCTGTTGCTTTTTACAGACTCAGACTAACACGGCTACCCCTCTGATAAAAAAATCTGTGTGTGCTTCAACCCCGACCCTAACAACTGACCATGGAGCCCTGCCTCCCTAGAGGCTCCTCCCCCTCTGACTACCAGGTGGCTGCTGTTCGTTTCCTGACTTATTCCTGAGTGCCTGCAGCCCTGCTGTCATTACTCCAATCGTTGTAAACCCAGGGAAGTTCTATGTCAGGACTTCAACTTTCTGCTTGCGGGTATTCAGGTAAGGCCTGTTGCATGTCCTCCTTTGTGAGGACTCAAAATCTATTACACTGTGGAATGTAATCTCACAAGTTGAGGGTTGAAAGCCTTATTGCTTGGGATACAAATGTAGCCAGGACAGAGTATTGGAAAACTTCCTGGAGGGAGCAGCCCTGTACCGCTGAGCAGGAGAGATTAGGAGATAGATTTAGCCAAATTAATCAGTTGAGCTTGTGTGACAGCTGCAATCTTGACTGACACAAAGGATTGAGCCAGGGACCTCCAGAGCTAAAACCATGAGCTGCTATTGGAGCCATGCTCCCTAGCTGAGAGCTGTAACAGACTCTTATCCTCTGGGCACCGTGGGTGGCAGGTGAACCCCCCTTTTGGGGAGGCTAGCCCCCCAACCCCACCCCTTCCGCCCAAGCACACACCCCCACCCACTGGAGCCCCAAGCCCCCGCAGCCGGAGGAGCCCTGAACCCCCCTCCCTGCAGCTGGAGGAGTCCCAGCTGGCCCACCCCAGCCACGTTGGCTGGTTGGCTGGAGCTCCCCAGCCACCCCAGGCCCCTGGCCTGACCCCACCCCAGCTGCCATGGGCCACCAGCCCGAGCCGCCACCAGCCCGAGACCCGAGCTGAGCTCCCGCCGGCTTCAGGGGAGAGGAGGAGCGAGGGCAGGGCCTCGGGACAGGGCACGGGCATAGCCACAGGCCTGGGATAGGGAAGCTTAGCCTCCCCTGGCCTTTGATACCAACTGCCCATATTGGGCACAGAGGGTGACCATGACACACTGGTCAGTGTGTTATGCTTGCATTGTAGCAGGTGCTTCAAATATTCTCCTAGCCCTGATGAGTAGCAGATGCGTAGCAGACTGACGCCCATGTTCACAGCCCTCCTCTCACGTACCACCCTCTGCTCACACTTTTCAGTAATGGAACGGTTCTTTCCTCAGACAACAAAACTTTCTCTGGAGAGAGCCAAATAAACACCCTTTCTACAGTGCTGCATAAATAGCCTTTTATAGCTGGAAATGAGGGGTACCATTAAGAGACAAGTTTAGGGGAAAAAGCCAGTCAAACCCACCAGCCTTTAGGCCATGTTGGGAATGTTGAAACAGCCTCATGAAAGATTCTGCGTAACCTCCTTCATACAGTAGCTCTTAACAATGAACGCCTAATAAATGTACAGTCTGCAAGAATTTACTATACAGTAACTAATCAGATTTATATAGTCATAAACTTCAACAGCTCTGTTTCTGTGATTTATAGCAGTCCTTAATTACAAGCTATACTAGGATATGAGATGTAGGACTCCAGTTGTACAGTGATGTTATACAATTGCACATTGGTCATAGCGTTTTGGAACAACTACGTAGTAATGCTGCACAATCTGTAAGTGACCACTTTAAAAAAATAAATCTTAGCACCACTGTCATGCTAAGCATTACAAAGAAATCCCAGAAGAAACCACTGTAGGAGATACCAGGGCTTATTATAACAGAGAACAAGTCTCCCTCCTATTATAAAAGGAGTGTATACTGGGGTTTTCTGCATGAAAGCTTTTCATCAGTTTCCTAGTCAGTTTCCTGCTTCCTATAACCCAGAATAATAGACTACATTCAAGAGCAAATTATGGTTCTGCAAACGTTCATTACCTGGGCATCGTGGGCAGCACAGCTGTGGCACGTGCACTGGGGTAGGGCAGTGTAGGCTTGGACATCTTATTCTGCTGCATAATACGTTCCCATTCTGGGGAAGGAATGCAACAATTAAATGCATGGATTGGGTATTGTGCCCTCTATTCTGCATCTAGGTATTATGGTGAAGACTGTTGTTATGGGCCAGATTCTGATCTCCGTTACACCAGTGTAAGCCTGGGGTAACTCCACTGATTCCAGATTTACACTGCAGTAACTGAAATTAGAATGTGGACTAAATCCACAAAATAGCATAAATGCTTTCAAATAAAAGGGAGCATCTAGAAATGGGATCTCAACAATTTTCACTTGTGTATTCCAGTGTCTTTTGAGCCAAATTATACTTAGAAACTGCTTTTCCAAGGCTAAGGAATATATGATGGATGATAGGTCTTTGAGGCACCTCCTGTTGAGGATTCATTTGAGAGCAAAAGAGATCATAGAGTCTATAATTTTTAATTCTTCCACTAAACCTGCAGAGAGTCCTCTGTTCTCATTGTATTGATTCCCCAATAGGCAAAAAAAAACAGTTGGTAAATAGTTATTTTTCTAAGAAATATGAGCAGGATTTGGGAATAGGATTCATTATTCATAATTAATATAATATTCTGTTTGACCATATCTAGGTTTGATTTATAATTAAAGCACAGGGAATATTCAGTCTCCAAAGTCTATAAACCATCTATGTTACACCAGAAAAGACTATCCATGTTACACCAGAAAAGACTATCTATTTCAGATTTCCACTTCCCCACCCTAATTCATACCCTTAAGTTAGCTATGAAAGCTGTTAATGTTTGTAAATAAGAAAGACTCTTCAACATGAACATTGATGCTATGCTATGTTTGTGAATGATTGTAGTTTCTGGTGTAGCGTGAAATAAATCCATTTCAACTTCACATGGGCCATCAGAATACTATGAGACTGGTCCAGCCAATCGTTTCCATTCGATTGGGCTCCAACATGCATTAGAATGCCTTGATATGGTCCCATCACTGTACACAAGCAATCCTTGTCGTTGTCATAAAGTGCAATTCCATTCTGAAAAATGACTCTAAAACTTTGTGTCTCAGTGATTCTAGATTGGATGTGCTGGGGTTGCAAAAAACGGGACAGTCTTTTTGTTGGAAACTCTTTGGGGCACAGCGACTGTCATTTACTATAGATCTGCACAGTGCCTTGCACGATGGGACCCCAGACCAATTGGTTCATAGGCATTGCTGCAGTATAAATGTTAAATTCTCTGCTGATGTAAATGGGCCTACCTCCATTAGCTTCAACAGAGTTTTGCCTGTTTACATCAACAAAAAATTGACCCAAAATGGTGGTGGGGTTTGAATTACCAGCCATGCAAACTCAATCTGAGCTCTGAAAACCAAGCTAGATTCTTTCCTTCTTGTGCATTATTAACATAATATGTTCCGCAGGCCAAGTGCTATCTTCAGAGACACCATTGCCTTCAGTGGGTTTACACTGTTGTAACTGATTAGAACTTAGTAAGCAATTCTGATTATGATAAACAAGGAATAATAGAATTCAGCTCCTTCTCTCTTAGCTGTTTCTGCATTCAGGGACAGCTCCAGGCACCAGCAAACCAAGCAGGTGCTTGGGGCGGCACATTTTCAGGGGCGGCATTCCAGCCAGCCTCTTTTTGTTTTTTGGCGCTTGGGCGGCAAAAGCCTAGAGCCGGCCCTGGCAGCAGCAGCACGTCCTGCACCGGGAGCGCCCTGGGGCCACTGCAGTTCGCATCGGGGAGCAGCGCCCGCACCTTATGGCCGGGCGGGCTCCGAGCGCGGGACACTTGGGCTGAGGGCCGCCCCTTGGGGCACACGGAGCTGCCTGCAGGTGCCGCAAGGCGGCCGCCCTTCAGCGCCACAGCCGGGGCTGGGCGAAGCAGCCCGAGCGGCCCAGGGACTGCGGCAGGGTGGCCAGGAGCAGCAGCGGGGCCATAGAGGGCGGGGCGCTGCTGTGCGGGGCCCGCGTCCCACTCTCCGGGGCTCCGCTCCCTCTGGGGCTGCCCTGCCCCGGCTCCTCAGCTCCCTGCTGGGGCGGTCCCCCGGCTCTGCCCTCCCCGGTCCCGGATGGTCCTGGAGGCGATAGCCCCGGCTGGAGGGACCCTGGTCTGAGGTGCGGCCCAGGAGCCCCGCTGCTTACCCCGACCCTGCCAGCGCTGGACCGGCTGGAGGCGAGGGGGGAGCGGGCTGAGTCAGCACTGGTGGGGGGAAGCCCAGTGCTGGGGCAGCAGGGAGTGCGGGTGGGGTGGGGGGGAGAGCCCAGAGTTCAGATGGCAGGGGGTGCAGGTCGGGTGGGGGGGAGAGCCCAGGGTTGGGGCGGCAGGGGGTGAGGGTGGGGTGGGGGCAGAGCCCAGGGCTGGGGTGGGGGGCAGCCAAAAAATTTTTTTCTTGGGGCGGCAAAAAACCTAGAGCCGGCCCTGTCTGCATTGCTTAAAAAGCAGTAAACTTTTTAGTCACTGATGGCTGCAGATGTGACTCTGAACACACACAGGGAGCAGCTCTATTGAGTAAGAAGGTGCCCTGTTTATAGTCTCACTTTTCAGAATAGAATAAAGATCTGGTAGTTTATAAACACTTTGCTTAGCTGAAGCTAACAGTCTTTGTGCAATTCTAACTCTACCTGTCCCTGTCTTGTGGGAGATAATGAGTTCTCTTTAGGTACTTGCTTTACTTTGAACCTGGAAGCACAGCTAAGAGAGAGGGAGCTGAATTCTATTATTCCTTGTTTATCATAATCAGAATTGCTTACTAAAAAAAAAGCTTTTGCTTTTAAACAGGAACATGCAATCACATGAAATACCAATTACTACTAATTTACTGCTGTAATTTCCCCCTTAAAATAAGAGCCTTCTCACTATAGGTCAACATCCAGGTGGCATTTCTTGGAGCTAAATCTTTGTCCAAGCACGAAGCTGGAGTAAATGGATGAGCACTGGGGATGTCCACAGGAAATCCTCCCATCCAGGCTGCAGAGTGGCCGTGCTTCCACGCCCTAGCTACTTTTGCACCCCTGCAAAGAGGGGGAGGAGGGAATTGGCTGGTGGATCCAGGTAGTCCCGGATCCACTGAGGTGCAGGGAGCCACTTCTGGGCTCTGCTTGGTGGTGCACCTACCCTCTATTAAGCCATGTCAGGAATGTTGTAACAGCCTCATGAAAGATCCTGCGTAGCCTCCTTCATACAGTGGACATGGTCTTCTATCCTACTTCCACCCCTCCTATATTCCTTTGCACCAGTTCTGTTGTCATTCAATCTATGTGTGTTTGTGGAAACAGGATTTTCCCAACATGAATCTTATGATGAATGGGTTTGCATGGAACATGGCAGTTCTCCTTTAACTTTAATACCTATGAGGCCTTCCTCATACACAAAGTTTGCATTCCACATGCTTTCCTTTTCCTCCAGCTTGTCTAACTTCTTTCTAAAAATCACTGATTGATGATTTCTCTTCAGACACCTAACGTCTCAAATTAATTTCCCCCAACCCCCACAATCGGGCACCACCCTTTAAGCAGTTTAATGAGCATTTTACCATTCCTTGATTCAGAAGGACTTTTAAACATTCATGGAGGGTCAGCAAGAGTGAATGGAAAATCCTCATAACTTTAAAACTCTGGAGTGTCACATGTGTTAGTGATTCAAATCCCTGAACCATGGTGGGTTTTCTGAATAGGGAGAAATTCTGCCCTCTGATATGCCCTCCCGCCCAAGCTATCATGTTGCCAAGGGGTCTATTACTGTGGTATCTAAACATTAATCACCAATTGAAGGGAGCCTGATCATGTCCTCAAACCCTATAACTTTAAAAAAGAGACTTTCCCCCCTTTTCGGTTTGTTTCTGAGCAGCAGGAGGAAAAGATATGCACCACTGCCAAGCTTGTGTGCTACTGTTTGTATGTGCGCATGAAAGTGAAGTAGCAGATTCTTTAGGATAAGTGCTGCACAGGGTCCAGTGTTTTATGTTTGCAGAGGGATAAATGGTCAAAAAGAATTTATTGAGCATTAAAGATAGCAGACCAAACACAACATCTGGAGTGTCACATGGTAGTGATTCAAATCCCTGCACCATGGTGGGTTTTGTGTTTAAAATTACTATAAAGCACTTTAAGGGACAAATTCTGCCCTCTGATATACCCCCCGACCCCAGCTATCTGTCATGTTGCTACGGGATCTATCACTGTGGTAGCTAAACATCAATCACCAATTGAAGGGAGCCTAATCATGCCCAGAAGGGCTCATCCTTTCATGTCAAAGCCAATTCTCCCTATTCCCCAACCCATTCTTTTCTCCTCCTTCATTCTCCCTGCCTTTTCCTGGATTTTTATAAGTTGTGGCATCCCAGCCTAATTCCCCCAGGGCTCCGAGGGAAGAGATTTCTTTACTGTGGGAATGCCTTATTGGAGAGTTGGGTGTTGCATTTAGATCTCAACACAATCAAGCTTGGGCTCAGTCTAATCTTCCATCCAAAATGGTGAGGACCATATGTGGATGCAGGGTTGATATGAGTCAAGGTTCAATGCAAAGAATATGCAAGGCTGATGCGTAGTTAAGGAGTTTCTTGCCTGTTCCATCACTCTAAAAGGCATGCATGATCTATGTATTTTTGCCAATATTGCCCTTCTCTGTTGAGGCAGCGAATCCCAGCTGTGGAATACCTTTTCTCTCTGCAGTTGCCGTGGAAGCCAATGGGAGACGGACACTATAGGAGAGCAGGATTGGGCCACACTGCCATGTAAATTCAGTGTAAAGACTGGTACTCGGTTAAGGACATGCAAGGAGTCACTAGAGCTAAACCTGAATTGACCTACCTCTGAGCAAAGACAGTTAACACAATAAACGAGTCCATAGGGTTCTAGGTAGGGATGCCATCTTTCTCCTACACGGTACTTCTTATCTTGAAAGACACAGTATGTCTCTGAATCTGTTAAAATAATATGGAATAGAAAGAGCTATGAATTAATAATCCCTTTCAGTGCAGGAAAGCAGTGGTAGCTATGGTATCTCAATTAGGACTCCATGTAAACCCCAGGTAGCTGAGTTTGTTTAAGGTGCAAAGAAATTTGTAAAGAATTCTACTTTTTCCTTTTCTTTGAGAACACAATTTAAAAAGTAATGCCTTTGTATTAGATACCAGTTTCTAGCCAAGAAACCCCCCCTGGTTTCTGATGTGGTAGCTTTCAGACTGGGTTGATTCACTAATCTTTCACATCCTAGAGACTTGGGTTCAAATCCTGTGTAAGTCACAAATGAAAGTGCTTAGTTCCCTCCGCCTAATTCATAGTAAATAAAATGTTCCCATCTCAAAGGTATTGCAGTAGACTTTGCTCAGGACAGCAGAAGTGTTGAAGGACAGAATGAGGAAATGTGCGTTGTACTTATATGGCATGTTCCATAGTTTAAGAACCAGATCAAACAGGAGCATGGCATGTTATTTGATACAGTGTGTTGATCTTATCTGTGCAGCAGTGTGCAAGATATTTTAGGGGCCTATTTTTCAGCAAAGGCCTCTAATTTCACAAGTATAGTTTTTCCACTTGCAACTAACAGCACACACAACTGGTATCATTTAGCCATCTACTTATGTGATGCTGCTTCGGTCAATGGTAATGTCAAGCCTCATGATAAATTATCACCGTTCTTACAAACACATCTCGTAACAACACACAAATACTTGGCTCCCAAATGTTAGACTGAGAGTGGAATGTCCTTAGCATTCAGTCTGCTAAAAGCAGGTAGCAAGATGCAGGGATTACTGGTAGCATGTGTAAAGTGATCTGCTTTCACTTCAGACAGCTGCATGGTGAATGACGCTTAGTGTCTGAAAAAGTAACGAGCTGAAGTTGCAACTGGAAGTTGCTGAATTTTCCTGTGCAGCCTCTGCTCTGGACAAGGCTAATTTGCACAGTTCTTTCTTGTGAATAAGCTCAGGAGAGCAGAGAATGCCTTCTTTGGACCGATTCAATTTATTTTTTGCTGCATCCACTTGCTTAGGACAAGAAGCTGGGTTTGAAAGATTTGACACTCCGTCTGTGACTACTCCTTGAAGTGCAAACACTGAGCTCAGGCACAGGCCAAAAGACCTGCACATGCAGGTAGAGAAAGGCACTAGGTGTCTCCTAGCAAGACCATAGTCTTCCTATAGATACTGGAGTGTGCTGTTAGTTACTCCTTCCTGTCACTCACTCTTTATGAAATGTGTTAACGTCTCCCATGGATCACTGGGTTTCTAGAAATATTTCCTTTGCCTTGTTTGTATTCCTTTCAATATATTGCACCAAGTTTTTGACAGTGCCTGGATCCTTAATTTTCTCAAAGACTATTTCATCTCTAATCCAGTTCATATGAGGTTTTTTGGAACACAACAGGTCTGCCTTGGAGGAGGTTTACACTAGCTGAAAACCTCAGCACAATAGACTTATGGATGGGACAAAATCCAGATAATCTGTCAGATGTTTATAGAGGTCACTAAAATGCAATTAAGCACACTCTGTATGCAGGACATTTGAAGTAAAACAGATTTGGCAGCTTGATGTGTTATGTTCTTTATGATGTGATGAAAACTGCATGGTTTTAGGGAAATAGACCACAATTTATTTTGATTTGATTTTACTAAATGAAAACAAGCAGACACATTTTTTCTGCATTAGGCTTATTTTAATGCAAAACCGTTGTTAAAGTTCTATTACATATATAATTTTTATTTGACACGCACAATTGATAGACAACAGGAAACCCCACATTTAGTTTAATACGATAGATGCATTTTTCTTTTGAAGTTTACTTACGTTTTATTTGTTCCGATTTACTTCCATCTATGAAAAGGAGCCAGAGCACACAGGAAAAGATAAATCGAAAGTCCTCCAATCTCCATTTTTTCTTCATCTTTGCCAACAAAAAGGAAAGAAAAATCCTTCAAAGGGCAGAATGTTGAGTTGCTGGAAAGAAAATGTGAAAAGACTTAAGACTGAAATCCTCTGGGACTACTTAAGATGAAGGTCTCCAATATGATTTCAACCAACATGTAAAAATCGAAAGCTGCCAGAAAACAAGACAAGACAAAACAAAACAACAGCAAAAAAAGGTCTGTACAGAGCTTTGTTTAGTGGAAACATTTTAGGCTTGAGATTAAATTGCTTCATTTTTGGAAAAGGGACCACATTCCCTTTCATAAAAGCTGAAAAGTGGGTATTACATCTTATGAAGTCCTTCTCTGATTGCAAAGCAAAGAACTTGCAAAGTGTAAGCAGTCTAAATTCTTAAAACCCTCTTTCACAAGAGAAATAGTTTGTTTAGAAGCTTTTCCATGGACAGAATCAGATCTTTTGTATGTAAAGAAGGAAGTATGAATGTTGGTTGTAATGCCTTACCTTTGCCATGGTAAGAGTAATCTGAATCTTGAATATATGTTAACCCTTTAATATGCATTCCCATTTATTTCAGTAGGTTCAGGATTTCACCCCTAATCAATTCATCCCCCATCTCCTCTTATTTTACGACTCCATAAAATTGATTGTTCAGGAGTTAACTCTTACCGTTACCTTGAAACCTGTCTTAATAACCCCTGCATTCTGCAGTTTTATGCTGAAGGTACAATATGCAAATGACATGCCAGTCTTTATTCATGCAGATCTTTAATATCAACACCCTGTTAGCATGGAGCATAGTCATCAAGTATGCCTTGCCCTGAAAGCTGCATTCATGGTGCCAGAGCGCAAATTCTATTTGCCTTTTGTCTGACATTTTCAAGACTGTCGGTCTCCTTAGAGTGAAAAGAGGAAACTGATCAAATTGTAATTAACATGTGTCTTTTTTTTTTAATCCAATCTGGAACAATAAATTAATAAACATGTGAACCACAATAAAGAAAATTATTGTCTCATTAAAAGGACAGTTGGGAATAATTTACAGTGTTATTCATGTGGGTTTTTTTAAACAGTCTCAGTATTGGTTTTCCTTATGAAAGTTTGAAAAGTAATTCACTACTGGTAATTTAAACAATGATATAAACTTTTAAAAATATGCTCAAGTCATTTGATCTCTTTAGATAAGTTATCTCCAGATGACTTATCAAAAATTGAACGCTGGACCCAGATTTCACAAGGTTTCAGTGACGCATTTTCAAAGCAGAAATATTTACTATACATGTAAATTAAAAAATTAAGGACAATTTAGAGGAATGGAGAAGCACTGAGAAAAAACAACACAAGTTCACCTTAAAATACTGTTTTTCAAATTCTCATTAAAGAAACTAAACAAAATGCTTATACAAGCTACAGAGTAATCATTTTAAGTCATGTACTGATCAATACCACTTTTTAAACATCTTCCAGGTAGAACTATTCTTTCTGACTTAGGATTCTGTAACAAGGGGCTGATAATATGGATGATTTGATTTATTATGTATGTTTGTCTCTCTTATTCTATAATTTCTTCCACTCTCAATCCTCAAAACAACACCAGAAGCATGACCATCAACCCTCCCCATTCAAAACAGTACAACCACTCTGTCTACTCATCATTGACCTCTGTCTGGTACTATATAGCCTCATTCTAAATAATTTAAAATGCATCTGAGAACATTCAAAAGCATAATGTAACTTTTAATGGGTGCTCTTTACACAATAGCAAAATAGAATTTAAATTTCTTCTTGGGAACAAGAAATAAAATTTCATTTTAGAAACAAAAGTTTGTCATCATTTTTTCCCTCAAGGTGTTCAGATCTCACAGGACGTTTTCTAAGGCAAATACTTTTAAAAAACTTGTTTAAAATGAAGAAAATGCAATTTAGTCTCAGTATAACATGCCAGTATTCATAGCAACAGCAGCATGCCTCAGATCACTAGAACTGGCAAAATGTGGGCATTTAAAATACTCGGACTTTTTTTGGGTGCTGTCTGGTTGTTTGAGCAAAAAATATTTGTAAATGGAGCACATTACTCCTCTTGGCGTCTCGGGAGCACTTTGATTGTTAGCTAGACTGGAAAGAACTCAGAAATCCTTCCATTTCAAAATGTCATTTCTTTAAACCCCATCTTGCTTAACATAAGGAATGTTAAATAGTACAATAAAAGAGAGGAATTAATAATGGAAATTAGATGGATTTTTAATCTCTTTAATTTCAAACTCGTTACAATAAACCCAAATACAGATACTTTTAGCAATAAACATATTTCCTTTATTTTTGAGCAATATCCTCAGTTGGAAATATTCTGATCTACTTAATTGCAATTAAAATTAACATTTTTATTATCCGTTACTGGTATTCATCAGTGAGAACCCCATCTTTAATTAGCATTACCTAAGATTGAAATAAGGCAGAAAACAAAGACCTATTTTCATGTCTTTTGATTTCCAATAAATCCCATTTAATAGCTAAAAATGACAGAGCATGGGTCCACACTTTATATTATTGAAACAAAGCAGGAATGTTCAAAGAAAATCTGAATAAATTTTTAAAGATCTGTGACATGATCAATGTTATTACATGCAACTAGACACCAAATATATTCAGATAAACTTTCTCCTAGAAATTTAATCTGATTAGTGAGCTCAAGATGTAAACTGCAATTAGTTTAAGAAATGTCAGTCATGGATGGAATGGCTTGCTGTCCTTTTGTAACAGGGGGAAAGCGAAGGGTATGTCACCTCCGGGAGACCTGAGCGCCAGCCCCCGGCCAAGTGGCAAGCGAGCCAGTCCTAGCATCAGCAGCGGGGGGGATCGCAAACGGGGCTTAGGTTCCGAGTGGGCCCTGTTAGGTGTGTCTGTCTGTGCCACAGCTTCCTGCTCTCTCTCGGGGACGAAGTGACTATTCACCCAGGAAAGCTTATGCTCCAATACCTCTGTTAGTCTATAAGGTGCCACAGGACTCTTTGTCGCTTTTTACAGATCCAGACTAACACGGCTACCCCTCTGATACTCTCTCCGTCCAGCCATTCTCCTGCGGCTGCCAAAACACCCCCTTGGTCCCTGTCTGGCTACGGGCAGAGGCAAGAGACGGGAACAAACCTGCTGCGAGGGCAGAAGCTGGCGGGCTGGTCAGTTTCAGCAGCAGCCGCTGGAGACTCAAGTGGCTCCCCCTGGAAATAGGCGAGGGGCTTCGGCTGGGCTGGAGGGGGCGGAGAGGCAGGGATCTCACCTCCCGTGACTCAGTAACAGTCCCGGTGCCATCGGGGCCCCCGGCAAAGCCCACTTGGGATTCAGGCTCTTCCTTCACTCTCGGAGCCTTGACGATGGGGATTGCTGGGTCCTCTAGCCCCCGCCCCCCAAATGAGCCGGGGCGGGGAGGTCAAGCCAGGAGCTGATGGAGAGTCCAGGGGAGGAGCTGCCCCGGGTCTGATGTTGCCTCTTGCAGCTGCTCAGTGAAGGGCCGAAAGCCGGGAGCCCGGCGAGCGAGAGGTGGATCCAGCGCCTCGGAGGATGCTCTTAAATGAGTCCTGCCCTGCGACCCCCGCAGAGCCGCCGGCAGCGGGGCTGCTGCCTGCAGGAGCAGGAATGTAGCCAGAGCCCCGGAGATCCGCCTTCCCTTCCCACCCTCGCCTTTCTCTGCGCCCCCCTCGCTTCTGCCTGGCACACAAGTGGTGATTGACAAAAGTTTGGGGTGGAGTTTGTTTGATTTGGGGGGTGGGGGCGGGGCTGTCTAAGGGAGGCAGGAAAGTCAGTGCGTTAGGAAAACGAGCTCTTTCCATGGCAGGGATCTTAAGAGCCTCTCCCCTCCCTCCCTCTGAGCAAGGAAGCTTCAAAAGATCCTCTCAACTCAAGCAAACTTCACCCTGAGCTTAAAGGGGCCGTTCGCCCAGATCCTGGGACTAATTCCCCCTCTGCCCATTCACAAGCTTGCAGGGGACGGTGAGCCACAGGACAGGATGGTTCAGCTTTAAATGCCGGATACTTCATTTCCAGAAAAAGAAAAAAAAACATTCTGCCTATCTTCAGGCAGCAACTGGCAATGGTCAAAGTTTAATAGAAACCTATTAAATGTCTATAGAAATTACTCGGTACACTTAGATTTAATAGAGAATGAGATCCGGTCTATGGGGCTTGTAATCGTATAGAATTTTATCACAGCACTAGACTTCACTAATAAATTCTATAGGATGGTTTGAAAATTAAAAACCATAGCAAGGTTCCCATTTTCTAACAAATTGTATAGGGCTTCCCCGTAAGGCAAAGCTTTCAGTTCTGCTCAGTTTATTAGAGATAGAAATATAAACCAAGCTGGCTCTGTAACAGGCTTTCCACACACACAGAGCGCAGATCGTTGCTGGACTGATTAAGTTATTGTTTGTTAGGATTTGTCAGGCATCCTTTTCTGATACTCATGGCCTGGTCTGGTTTATTGTGTTAGAAGGTTTCAAGGTCATACTGAAAATCTGTTGGAACTAAATTAAACCCATGACTCATGACATTACATGCTTGGTCAAACATTCTTGTTCGTCTTGTTGTAGCCCCTTTAACTAATAAGAAGAGATCAGCAAACCCTTGACAAATGATCTGAGAGAAAGAGTGAGGTATGAAAAGACATCATGTAGGGAAACAAATTACAGCTTATTTCCCCTTAGTTTTGTATAAGGGTATTTGGGAGTCTAATACTGCTGAGAGGTCACAAGTCTCCTTGGACTTCAGTAAATCCCATAAAATTGAAAACTCAGTGCAACTTTTATTCCATCTATTGTAATACTACACTAGATAAAACACTAGACATAGAGTTTATGGAACAATCCTGCATTAGCAGAGGGATGGATTAGATACCTCATGGCTGTTTTCCAGCTCAATAAGTAACTAGGGCTGTGTACTAATATGATTTTACAACTCTTAGCATAAACCCCCCATGCTCTGAAGCTAAACATTTTGAAAAGATTTTAGTGTGTGCAAACACATCAACTCCCCCCCCCCCAGTTACATCTCTTTCCATCTGGATTTTGGGTGTAAAATGTATTGACCTCACACACATATTCCTATAGGAAGAAAATTTCACTGATTATGAGGAAATCTTAGTAATGAAGGTGGAAGCCACTGCCGCAGAATGACTGCCAGCACTTCTCTTGGAATGGGTGAGTTGCAGGCAGAGGAAGAAATGTGCTTGCGGAGAAAAACAAATGCCAGGATTCTATCAAGAACATGATCCTAAATCTCATGGGTGGGCAGGGAATCCTACTAACTTAGGCCCTGATCCTGCAAAGACTTATTAATAGAACTACTCATATTGGATAAACTTAAGCATATGAATAAATCATTGAAAGATTAGAGCCTAAAGTTCTGAGATAAGGGTGTGCAACACCTAAGGGGTTTGGGCCTTGGAATATTTTCCCTGGTCTGGTAGCATGGCTCTGGCCTATAAGACAGGTTTAATGTGGTGGGTGAACAACTCCTCTGTATGCACTCAGGCCCCAGCTTCTGAGCCAACCACCTATGACCCCTGAGAACTTAACTCAGAGCTTGATCCAAAGTCTAGTTAAATTAACTAAAATCTTCCATTGACTTCAGCGAGTATTGGACAGAGCCTTCCCAGAGGACACCCTAGCCTCTGTTTGCCAGAAGCTGGGCATGAGCAACAGGAGATGGATCACTTGATGATTATCTGTTCTGTTTATTTTCTCTGTGGCACCTGGCACTGGCCACTGTCAGAAGACAGGATACTGGGCTAAATGGATCCTTACTCTGACCCAGTAGGGCCAGTCTTATGTTCTTATACTATTGGCAAGTGGGGAGCCAGTCAGATGTGTGGCCACTTGCAAATCCTACTGCCTTCCCATTTCAGATGATGTGGCCTTAATCTCACAAGCTAAGCAGGAACAGACCTGGAGACCTCCAGGAAATGTAGCAGACACAGGCATAACAAGGTCCAGTGGTTAGACATTGAAGCCAGATACATTCAAGTGAAATAAAGAACGAATTGTTAAGTGAGGATAATTAACACTGGAAAAGTCTGACAAGAGACATGGTGGATTCTCACTTGAAGTCTTTAAATCAAGATTGGATTCCTTTCTGAGAGAGCTAGTTAACCCAGAGATTGTCGGCTTTCATTTGATGCAGGAATAATAGACTGAAGTTTCATGGCGTGTGTTATGCAGGAGGTCAGGCTAGATGGCCATCATGATTCCTTCTGTCCTTATTATCTGTGAAAAAAAATCATGGTGCTGTGGGAAGTGTTGTTGTTGTCAGTTTTCCCTCTGAGTCAGAACTGAACCATTTGCCTGCATGGTGTCAGGAGGAGCTATGCTGCTAGGGTACCATCTTTCAGATGAGATATTAAAGGTTTCCTGATCAGTGGTGGTGATTAAAGATTCCTAGGCATTTCTTTGGAAGAGCAGGGGCAACTGACATGGTATCCTGGCTGTATTTCAGTATAATATGGTTTAGTTTATCTTCCTGAATTCCCATATTGCTACAGTTGGATAAGGAATTCTTTCCCATGCCAGGTCTCTACACTGTTCTGTTACCGAAGCTGTTCCATTTTGAAGCTGTGTTCTGCCGCAGAACTAGTTGCATTTTGATGCTGGATTAATTTACCTTTATATATAATATGTCTGTATGGTGGGATTTTCAAAAGTGCCTGAAGGAGTTTGACATCCAGCTCCCATTGACTTTCAGTGGGAGTTAGGTAACTTTTTGAAGAGGCCTATCCATAATTTGTAATTTGAAAAAAAGGAACCTTATAGAAATTAATGTATAGTAAAAATAAAATGTATTGCTGAGCTTTCTTTTGACTGTGTCTGAAATATCCTTTCCACTAGCTGTTCTTATGGAAAAGTCCAATAGAATTTAATAGGCATGAAACTAATAGGATTTCTATAGGTATTACTCTATATGTCTATATAGTGTAATAGCCAGTGATATTCTTTCAGTAGGTTTTTGGAACTGTCTCGTAGAATTCTTTAGCAGAGATGGAATTCTTTATTCGGTTCTAGTGAATGGTTCAAGAAAGTCTATGCCAAAGTTAGTATTTTCTATTAAATTCCCATTGTGCCCTGTATTGTGCATTGCATCTGATATGGCCCTGCATTAGAGAGTCTGTGAACATTACATATCACATACCTTATGGACTGCAATACTCAGATGCAGTGCAAAGCACAAAGACTCTCCTTTGCTCTGTGCCCAGGCAGTAGGGTACAATTGCAGTTCCTGTATTCCCCAAAGCATAGGGATTTAGCACCCCTGGGGCACAGAACACCCCAAAGGAGAGAAGGCGCTGGTCAGGTATTTGCCACCTTACACACCACCAGGAGAATTGACTGGCTGAACATGCAAAGTGACATGCTCTGGAGTTTGGGGAGGAAGGATTTGTGCTTGAAACAGAATATCTCCCCATGCTCCCCCAGGGATGGATCTTAAAGCTACAAGGATGCTTTAAAGTTTTAAAAAGCTCAGAGATTTAGCCACATGACTCTCATTAAAGATACTAGGACTTGCATAGCTAAAAACCTGTGAAACTGACAATTAGAGAGCCCATCTCCTTGTGCTGTGGATGCAGCTAAGATGCTTAGCAATACTCAGTTATGTCTAATGTCTCCATTCTTGTGGTAATAAGAAGAGAACAAGAGCAGCATGCATACACTCAAATATATTGATACACATTTTTGGAGTTTTCTTAATACCAAATATTAACTCAGTCATTTAGGTTTAGAGAGATGGTTAGCCTGTGGTCAGGTCTAGGAATCTGCAAAATTATACAAGTGTGAAAGGAAGCTTTTGAATTAGTAAACTCCTATGGGTGTTTTTTTTTTTTAAGAAATATTTTTCATGCCTATAACTTGAACTGAGTGTTTTGAAAACGTATTAAATAGAAGATTATTCCCCAGATTTTATAATGCTATTTTTAGCCCTGAGTGAATTTTTATGGGTACGATCAACCCCTGACATTGGGATTCATAATGGAAACACGAGCTTGGTTGTCTGTCCAGCATTTTTTATGAGCACTATATGCTAAACAAAAAAAGGTTGAGGATGGAATATTATTTTGTGATTACAAAAGAAGATTGGAAATCTGGATTCTCTGCTGTGCTGTTCACTCACTGTGTCTTTGGGCACATCAATCAATACACCACTCTCTGCCTTAGTTATCTGTGGGAAATCCTGGCCAGTGGACGTCAGTGGTAAAACATCAAGAGGGCTAGGATTCCACCCCCTACCTTTATCATTGGTAATTAAGATATTTATCTAACAGGGCTATTGTGAGGCTTAGCAAATTAACAATTGCAAAATGGATGAGAGGCACAAAGTGCAAAGTAATTTCAATAAACACAACATAAAACTTGAAGTCTCAGCTGAGCAGCTTCCCTGCCTCGTGGAAAAGGCATCAGTGTCTGAGATGTGAGAATGGTTGGAAATATTTTAATATCTCTAAAATGCAAATAAAATATATTCCTAAATCAAAAATAAAATTGCACAGATTGGCCTTTATGTAGTGATCGGTGAAACCCTCCAACAGTCATGGAAATGTAAAGCAAATTGTGACAAGAAAAAGAGTGCAGGAGAAATGTAAGGATAACTTT